GTATATAGTAGAATGTAGCCCTCAAGGCGGCCAGTACCGACGCGGGATGCATGGAAAGATGATAAGCGACGGAACGAAAGATTGCCACACACCATGCAGTAAAATGTAGATTAGCTTCGAGGTCATGCTGTCGAAAGGAGATGAGGCCATATGTGATGTATCGGTTGTAAGAGGAAGGAGGGCTTTTTGGGAGGTGCTTGAGGTTGACTGGGTTGCCGTACCACGATTTTTGGTGGGTACTGGGTGGAATCCCCCATCGGTGATTATTGCACATGATCGTAATTTACAGTAAGGTATGCGACAATAGGAGGGGCACTTCAGTGAGGGAGATGGCAACTGTGACAATCTGGTAATGACAGTTGGGACGAATGAAGTTATGCATCACTTTAGCTGTAGTGACGCCTGAACGTGCAAGTGAGAGCGCGTAAAAGAGCAGGGAGAGAGGGAAGGTAATGTGGCGAGAACGTCCCATCGGGAGGTAGCGACGGATATGAAGTAAGGTGTTAGAGCAATATTCCACCTTGTGCGTTCTCTCACGACTATTAGCTAGAAGGCATCGAGGAAAGTTGGGGGACTGAGGTTAAGACAAACTAAGGGTGTGAAGGTTCTCGCGTATCGGATGATAGGAGCAATTGGTGTCAGTTGAATGGGTCCCGTTTAGCGAGATCGAGTTTAAATGACTTCTGCTGATAATTCGGGGAACCGCCATTGAATCAGGCGGGTGCCGCATCGGCAGATCCTGTGATGGTTTCAGTGGAGCTTACCAGAGTGAGGAGCCGTTGGGCCGCCGACATAGAGCGCACACCAAACGTGCCAGGGACGAGACCAGTTAGAGCAGAGCGTTATGGAAGTAGGAGGCTCGTGAGTAGCGCGGTATCGATGGGGCGTATTATCGTACCTCGCTGGGGGAGAGGAAAGTGGGACAGGTATACTAGACTGGAGGTGATGCTGGGGGAGCCGGGTAGCGTGACAAGCGAGATCCTTTTCTGGAGTGTTGATGAGTTGGCGTGTGTAAGGGTAGCGGTAGATAGTGAGGCCAATCCACACGCGTGGTGTGATATTGCCTTAGAGTCCTAGGTTCGCTGGAGATCAGCTGAGGTAGTCAGGAGGTGATGATATTAGAAAGGCATAATGTTTCGATGGCAACGTAAGGATTACGTCCTCGTCTGATCGGCGCATCTCCGGTGGTATTGTGGGTGTTGATCGGAGCAGCGGGGATCTAATCGTCGGGAGTGTGAGGCACGTGAACCAGATACGAGGAGTAAATCCGAGCACGTTAATAGTAGTTTAGCACGTGTCCGGACTGAATTCGGTGTTACAGGATGTCTTCGACTGATGGAGGTACAAAAGTGTGGACCTAGCAGTACAAGGTATAACTCCGATCGGAAATTACGCACGCCGATAGGTTGTATGCTCGGTGAAGCGGTTGGGATACACGTTGAAATCCGATGGGCGTCGTGTGAACATACCGGGGCCCACCTCCGGAAGACTAAGTTGGATTAATGTCAGGGACGCCAACAATGCGGAACTCGGTGAAGGAAAGTGGGGCATCTAAGGTAACTACAGAACACAGGATGGTGGAGAACAGTGAACAAGTGGGCGTTACCGCGCCCATGAACAAGTTCCACCCTCCCCCTCCCCCCTAATGGACCCGCCTCCAAGGCGGGGCCAGGAAGACATCGTTAGTTGAGCGATCGGTAGATTCCGGCCTAGGTGCTGCCGTCAGAATTTTTCGGTGGGGCGACATTATCGAGTGAATACTTGGCAGTGAGTACAGCATGCGGCAATGTTTGCACAATGCGAGCGAATTGCCAGGGGAACGATCTATTGCTGTCTTTGCGTCTTTCTGCGTGGCCCGAAAACAGCCGTGCACCCGCAAGCGGCAATGAATATGCATAAGCTGCGAGCGTATGTGAGAAACTGGCAGCCTGTCGGCTCTGTACTGACCTAGGATTAGCTGTGGCACTAAAGTTATCAGTTACATACTGGGTCTCCTGTGTTAAAGACGGGATATTGCGTCGACGGGCGAACGTACACGTGATCCACAGTGGCGCTATTTCATCCGGCCTATATTCCCATTGATTAGGCAGACCAACGTACACATGAACAATAAGTGTTCGCTACGCCCTTCTTTTTATCCCAGGTAATGATAAAACACAGTTATGGCGGTCGCTCTGGTAGTCTGGAAAGTGTCTTCCAGCAAACCACTTTAAAACGGTCACTACTTTCAACTAAGCGTATCACTAAGAATAATAGTGGCTTGGTAGGGGAGTATTTTCTCTCTTTTATTGTTTTGCTTACCTGTCAACAGCGGATATCGTTGCAGGAGAGATTCGTACTATCTGGAAGTACTTTTTCCGTGAATACCCATGGTACTTAAAGATTACACGCTCTCGCGTGGCCCCTTCTCTTGTCCGTACGAGCTCAAATTATGGCCCGGTGAACTACTCAAATACTGAGCAACTAACCCAGACTGCTGTTAGTTTAAATTATTCTAAACGTCTCTAACCTCGTCACTGGAATGACGATAAAATATCTGCACATAATCTGCCACTCACTTTGCAGCTGCAATCATCTGTGATACGATTTTTTGCATCGGCTGCCATCATTTGACAGTTTACGCATGCTTATGCCCTGTTGCGCAATGAGTTTATATAAGAATTTGGCAAAGGAACCACGTATTGCTGCTGTAGCGCGGAACTCCTCTTGGTGGAGCATTGGTAATGTTTACTTGGAATGCTCATTGAAATTATCTGTGCACTTCTGTGGCTTATGTTTGCGACGCAGGTGTGTAGCTACCTCTTCGACATATTTTTGGGTGATTGCACCGTAACTCAAAAAGCAGAGCCAATTTTCTAAGACCGAGGCCAGATTCCGAATCAGTGACGCGAAATTATTATAAAATCACCTTAATATCATTGAAACAAAAGTCACTGTTGACCAGTGTTATGGTTACTCCTTGCGAAAAGAAAGTGTGTTTTCTACATGAATTCGGTAAAATATTTGGGATATATCATTGCTCAATACGTACGAATACCAGACTCAGTTGATATTGAGTTCATCCAGAAAATGCCTCCACCACCTAATGTGACTGAGCTGCGACCCGTTTTATGACCGGTGAGTCATTATAGTGTCTCTTTGCCATAAATGCATAATATACAGGGCTTACTCAATGCAGTAGTTTTCGGGAATTCCAGGTTATGCAGTCACCTCTCTATCATCCACACTCGAATGGCTTTGCAGATTGATTTCTGGATGTCTTCAAGCGAGTATTATCTAAGGCAAAGGGAAGGAACGTCTACCGAAATCCTTGAGACTTTTCTTGTCTACTGGATTACACCGAACCCGCAGGTGCTCCGGTTTATGCAATAACGTAAACTGCGATGCAGATTCAGCCGGCTTGATTCTGCTAACCGGAACAACTGGATTCCAAACTTCAAGGCAGAGCAGCAATTCAACAGGAGACACGGTGTACTGAACCGGAATTTCTTCAAAAGCAACTAGAACTGGCCATGGAATATCCCAATAACTAGAATACGTTAACAACGAACTGAAGATCTCACCTAGGACGTAGCTATTGCGTCCGAAGTTTGAATTCACGATAATCTGTTCCTTTCTGGATGCATCACCAGCATGCAGCATGTTGCTTGTACACTTGCTCCTCGACCCATTCCATATCATTTTAGAAGCCTTAACACTAACAGAAATCTCCGCTTCCCACACTTATACTGGAGTTACTAATGAGAAGGTAGACAGCTTAGTGCCGCAAATCATTTACTGATTTAAATAAATCCCAAGTTGAAAACCCATGCGTTTTATTCAAAAGATAGATGTATTTTTTTAAACTTGCTTTAACTAATCCATTGGGACTGCTATCTCCACGGAAAATTTCCAAATCCCTGGATGAGTCTGATCGGCTAATAGTATGTTAAGCGCCATGGCGTAGCCAATAATTTTACCGCGTCTGTAGTTTTTAGATTATTTGTAGCAACTATGTGAACCACTGAAAATTTGTACCCACACATCCGCTCGTCTTGCTGTAAACATTATTCCCCTCATTCTACTTCTTTTTCGAGGTATTTGGTTAGTTCTTTAGTGGTTTTACGATCATTAATCTGCCACAACAAGCATTTTTGAAGATTCCACTGTTTTGGCGCAACCTTCTGTCTCCGTCCATTTCCTGTGCGTGTTTAGACTGCACCAGACTGCATTTAGTTTGCTGTATCTTTTTGTGCTCTTCCTTTGGTTTTATTTCACAATGCTATTTGACGTATGTTCGCTTGGATCTACCACACTCGCTTGCTCGGATCATGGGTCTGAGCCTGTCAGTTTGTTGCGACGCACACACGACCAGTACATGTTGCCAGTTCTCCTGGTTGCTCAGTCACACCACTGTGGCTTACGTATGCATCTTGGCTACGTACATGTTTTCGGCGCTCTGAAACTCACAATTTCCCGTTCACATCATCGCTCTGTTCCCTCCTCAGCGTGGCCAGCTGTACTCAAAAAGCACACTACGTTGAAAACCCGTGTTTCTTGGATTGCGGCACTGTCACCTGAGCGGCGGAGCAATCCTTTCCCACATGTGTAGCTTAGCATGTCTATGTCAGCGGATTTTTCTTCTCCTTGCCACAACCTCACTCACTCACTGACATGTAGCAATGTCAAAGCTTCACCGCATTAGCGAACGATTTAGCCTGCACTCCAATGCTTTAATTTGGTCCAAATGTATCATAATGCACATCTTCCAGCTTCAACTTATATTACATGTATCTGTATTTTTAGTCCGATTACCGCTTTCTAGACCTCATGTTTGCAACAACGCGGTTTTTAGCGCTACATCACCTGTTGACTCTAATGCGAAGATTAAAACTGGTGTCAGTTGTTGAAAACTCTGATCTGACCGGATTCGCGCACTACACCATTTTTCGTGTCGAATGATCGGACGATTTCCAACACCGTTTGCTCTCCATTTTTACCTGCAATGTTTGCCCGTTCCTTCTTCCTCCTGCAGTTTCAGTCTCGTTTTTCTGAACTTGTGACAAACGTCACACCATCTGTTGATGATGCGACAGTGGAGTTAACCAAACGGGCGATTGAGCTTGAACTCCAGCGGTTCGAAAACCGCTTGGATCTCAGTCTATCAAGTACGCTTGATAAGAAATCGACCAACCTTATGGACCTCGTGAATCATGCACGCATAAAGGCTAAACATCTTTGTGAACAGTGCTGGCGACAGTGGGACCGTTCAGGTGCTCAGTTCCCCGTTGGTGGTGACCCCAGTCAAGAGAAGCTGCTAGAGTTAGAGTCCGATTTGTGTGAATGCCAAACCAGACTGCTCGACCTCGTCAATGCCGTGTGTCTAACGACGGCACAGGCCGCTCGCTCTATGACTATGATCGACTCCGATAATCAACAGCAAGACAGCAATGTGTTCCTCGAGGTTATCTCCACGTCGGACATGGAACGCGTTCTCATGATCGCCGAAGAGACCAGAGGCATGATACAAACCATTCCGGTGCGTCATCGCAATTTAACTGATCAATCGGTGACCTTAAATCGCTTGGTTTAATCCGTTCCCCACTCGTAACATCACCTGAAATACCGCGCTCGACTGTTGCGATATAGCTGTATTGTGCTCTTTCTTAGGCCGCCTATTTGCTTTTGATATGCTTTGCTGGCGTGATAGCATACCGCATGCATCGACCTGAAACTTTCACGCTTTCTTTTCTTGTTAACTTTTCATTCCCGGATGCACACCTTTCTCGTAGTGGAACGTTGTTTAATTTAGCAAATGTGTTATTCCACTCAATCACTCCCGGTACATTCTGTTTTGCTGCGGACTTCTTCATATCGAAGGACCAAGAACGATTCATTGAAAGAACTATACTCGAAGTGGAATTCGCCCCACATCTGAAGTGGAACGTGCTCTCTGTGAAAAATCTTTGGCAGACGTATCAAGAAAAGCTCACTTGTTTCGAAAAATTTATTACCTCTCTGGAACATGTAAGTGTTTTATTTCCGTTGCCATTTTTACGCTACCTTCCCTTTCGTCGTAGTGCGACAGCACCCATGTTTGTCCATTAAGCTATTCCATTTAATGCGCTCGGGTGCCTTCAAAGCTACTCGATATCCATTGATCAGACGAAGCAATTTTACGATTCAGTTAGTGATTCGGATTTGGATCGTGGTCATTTAGGCTAAGATTGTTCATCTAGTTTCAATTACTCCGATCCCATATGCGCGCTGCCGTGCGTTCACATTTGTGTGTCACAAGATTTGGTTGATAAACATAATCTATCTTCTGCCATAGTTTCGTCGTGACACTTGCGTCACATTTTAAGCTGATTCTGCATCTGCCACCTTATCGGTTGTACGCGGCGGAGCGCGTACACGAACCTTCGCTCCGTTTCTTTCAACTACCATCTGTTCCTCTTATGCAAATTTTACTCCTCGTTACTAACCTCCTCATAGCTCCAAGCCTATAAAGCAGCAAGCATCTCTTTTACCGTGGTGTCATATATTCTTTGGTCATCAAACTCTCCATTTCAGATAATACTACCTAGTCACGCGTTGGCATCGTTCAACGTTTGTCTTCCAGAACAATTAAGTCAACAGGTTACACTTGCACGCACATTGTTTACCCTTGTCGTTAACGTCTACGAAACTAGGATCCACTGCTCCGACGCGGATTCTGAAGTACCTGAGCCCACTTTATCTTCCCACTCCCACAGAATCTGATATCTTTCTCAACTCCAGAGCTGTATATTAATTCGGTTCCGCGAGCAACTATTTGTGTACACTGGATATCTAAGGTGGAAGCCCAATTCAACCAGGCTGTTTATCGGCCTGGTTATCAGAGTCTTTTAGTTGAAATGGAATTCTGCTCTCAGAAGATGAAAACGGTGATATTCCTGCAAACTCTAGCCGATCCGCTCCATTAGTCCCAAGAACTCATATATCACCAACCCATTTCTAGACGGCATCACCACTCTGCTTTGTAACAAGGAATTATGTTTAGCTCGTTGCGCAGACCACTTTCAAGAGCTCTTACGTGGCCACGTTTCGTGTCCATACGGTGCACTTTAGGCCATGGTCTCTTCGGTTAGAGGACCATGTCGATGCCACATTCCGCGGGTTATTTTTGCCTTCCGTGTTTACCGATATTAGCGAACTTTTCTGCCAAAGATCCACACATCTGTACTCACGGTTGGAGAAGAGGGAAACCATTCCTTTCAACTGCGGTAAATAGATTAGAATAATTTGACTAGTTGTTCGAACGACGCCAACTTTCTGTTTGGCAGTTACGAAGTGACATAACTAATCCCGGATCATTCCTTTTGTAGCCTAATCATACAGCATGTGCTCCGCACATTAAGTTACATGACGCTTTCACGATGCCGCACAACCGTCTCTCCCTCTTTGCTCATTGACGGCTGGGAATGGGCTATGATCAGTTCATCTGTCTCGACACCTAAAATCGTGAAACTTTCGAGACTTTTTATGTGCCAGTTGTCGAAATGGTTACAAGCCTGCTTTGTAATCCTGAGGTCACCGCGATTCGCCTAAGTGCGGACGTCCTCGCAGTGGCATACCCTGCCCTTGTGCGGCCGGTGGTGGTCGCGTGGCGAACCGTCAGCACAATGTGCCTACGCACTGCCGATGTTTCTATTCCTCCGCTCAACATTTACGTGAACCAGAAGAGAATGCACCTTCCTTCTAAGGTCTGGTTTGCGAGGTAAGCTCGTTTCTCTATGACTATAGGACATAGCCCCTACGGTTTGAGCACATTAGCTCTTTAACCATCACCATCGGATTGTTGCATAAGTTGGGCCACACCAACACGTCCACAATGATGCGGTGCACAGACTGGTCACCATCAGGTTAGTTGGTCACAACGATCAGTACTACTGATCTGTTTTTCTTTGGCTTGACATGGGTACTAGTTTAGTTTCACCGATCTTTTACGATTCGGGGTTATGGGGTGTCGCTTGCTTTCGCAATCCCAATCATGTGGGCATACCCGTTTATCTTGCAGCGGAAATGAACTCGTTGACCGTACAATTGCGTTCGACTTGTTCATTCGTTATGGTTGGCGGCATCCGGTTTCGGATTTGCCTTTCACTGTAGCCAGTCACAGGACGCCTGCGCCTACAGAGGGACCATGGGTGGCTTGCGATGCACCACCCACTGCTCCATCCACAAACTCCATATCCAGTGTAAACCCGAGAAAATAAGACCGGGAGGCATGTGGATGGGAGCCACGTTGCATCAACGGTGCCGGCCCACACTCCTTCACAGGCAAACACAAACACGCTGCATTTGGGAATCAAGCGCACACATGGCGGTGGCTGGACTGTAGTCCGCTCCACACTGAGTGCATGGAACCACTCTTTGATCCTAACACGGCCACAAGGACCGTGCACCCCGTCCCCTCCAGCAACGACCAACTGTCTCCTAGATGCAGTATGGACGAGGTAGTGGGTAATAGACAGGTAGGCACCTTGTCAAGATACACATCAAGCGCAGCCACACCGGGGATATCAAGCAATAGCCAATCACTTGAGAGAAACATAACAGATAAAATAAATCGAGTAATGCATAAGGAAACGGTGACATAAATCTTAAATTAATGAGCATATGAAATAAGTTGTTTACAAACGAATCCGAGATAAGTTCAAGAGGTCAGAAAGTATATTTTACGGAAATGCCACAAACACGAAAATGTTATCGAAATTAACCACAATTGGCTTAAGCGACGTGTACAGGTGTATAGAAGAGAGTACTGGTAGACATTTTTCTGAGAAAGAAAAGCATTAGGACAAAATTGAAAACCCACCACCTGAAATAAATAGACTTAGCATGCAAGCACGCGGTTAGTAAATCGAACCCAGGGTATTTACAAACGTTGCCTACGTTCTCTTCAGGACCCGTCGTCGCTTTGCTAATGGTCCCGAGCGGCCTCGCTCATGCTTCACTAAGCTTGCCTGACTCAGGCACTCGCGACCGCATGTGCTACTGCACCATGCGCTCGATGTCGATGGACTGCAGCCTATCGGGCTTGCCGCTTCTTTTCTGCATGTATGAGGTCCTTCTCCTGCACTTCGGCAACTGCCTTCGCGATTAGACCACGCCAAGCACGCCGATCAACCGCCTTCGATTCCCATGACCTGCAATCAAGAATAGAACGTGAGGGGCTCACTTTGATCATGTCCTAGGATCGTAACTTTGGTTTCCCCACATGCCGCTTCCCAATACTCAGCTGACCGTATAAGAGTTGTTTCGATATCCGCGTTGAATTCATACGGCTCACATGACCGAACCACCTCAGGTGTCTCAGCAAAAGCATGCAGTCCACTGCATACATCCCACTTTGTCGCAACACTTCCGTGTCAGCAACTCTGTTGCCCCAACTGATGCGCAAAATTCGTCGCGAACACTGCTGATGGAACCGCTCGAGATATCGCACATCCCGCCAGGTACATCTTCCGCGTTCCACTGCCGTATAGATGAACGGACAGCACCATGGATTTGTACACCATCAGCTTCGTGCCAATGCTAAGCTGATGGTTGTTACACACTCGGTACTCTAGCTTCCCGAATGCCGCCGCTGCCTTTGAGACGCGGATTCGCAGCTCACTGTGTAGCTGCTGATCAGTCGTCATCACACTCCAAAGGTAGCAGAAGCTGGAGGTGTTTTCCAATACTTCAGCACCAATGCTGATTGGCGACAATATTGAAGATTGCACCTCCGGTGATGGCTGAAAGAGACAGACAGTTTTGCTTGCGTTGATGGTGAGCCCGAATTTGGCCGCTGTCGAAGCCAGAACACTTGTCATGTGCTGCAACACATTCGCGCTGTGTGCAAAAGAACGCACAGTTGTCAGAAAACCGAAACATACGGATAGTTGTCTCACAGACTAGGGTTCTCGCACCGAAACGACGGATGTCCAGCAACCCACCATTAATACGGTGTTCCACACGAACACCGTAAGCACAAGCCGATTCAGAATCACAAGACATCATCGCATGAAGATATATATTAAACAGGGCAGGAGCTAAGACACATCCTTGCTTCACACCAGAGACAACTGCAAAGTCATCCGAGGTCTCTCCACTCAGCTGCACCCTCGCCCACATACCACTGTACAGACATTCGATTAAACTTGCAAACTTACGCGGACAACCAAACTTACCCAACACCAGCCACAATGCATCGCGCTTCACCGTATCAAATGCCTTAGTAAAATTAACAAAAAGCGAGTACAAAGGCTGGTGTCATTCTCTGCACTTCTCCTGCAACTGACGAGCCGCAAACACCATATCTATGGTGCTGCGACCCGAACGGAATCCACATTAGTTTCCACAATCTGACCGACGATGTGGTTGAGCATGATTCTGGCAATCACCTTGCCCACACAACTCAGCAAGTTGATGCCACGATAATTCGTGCAACATTGCTTGCTACCTTTGCCCTTGTACAGTGGTAGCACAAGGGCATCCTTCAGCTCAGCAGGCACCTCCTCCTCAATCCATGCGCGTTGCACCAAGTGGTGCAACGCAGTCACTAACGCAGGTCTGCCGTGTTTCAATACTACAGGCGCGATCCCATCGGCCCCAGCACACTAGCCGTTTCACAGCTGAGCAAGTGCTCTCTGCGTCTCATCCAGTGTCGGCGTGTCCGCCAGACTCCCGTTGACTTCGTGCTGCTTGAGGCCGTTTAATGTAGGCCAGTCGATCTCTGAACGGATGTTCAAGAGACAGTCAGTGTTTCCGTCAGATCTGCAGTGTGTGCAGGTAGCGCCTGAACTACCATCGATCAGCGTCCTCAGCGGCTCCAATCTCTGTCCATACACCGCCTTCAAGGATACAAAGAATTTCTTGTGTTGGCGCGTTCGGCGTAGCATTCCATCCGCTTCTCCTTCTCCGTCCACCATGCATTTTTAATGCGACGGAGCTCTCGGGTCAGTCGCTGTCGAAGTTTGCGAAACTGACTATTCTTCCCCGAGTCACTGGGGTCTCCTACACCAATGCGCCAATCGTCGCATTGTTGTCATCAAACCAATCAGGCCGCGTACAGTTTTTTCGCGCCTCATCGTCTCCTCGGCAGCAGCTGTCCCCTGGTCGCGAATGTGATGCCATAGGTCGCCCACTGTGGCTATTCAGTCCACATCACACAGGCGTGTAGCTATCGCCTTCTCCAACTCTGTGCGTCTCGCAACAGTAGCGAGGGAGAGAAAGCTAAATTTACCCCGGTTCACGGCGGGAGTGTAATACATAGATCTGCGACAATATATCTACATTTTGGTCCGCACCAATTTGTGATAAGTGCCACACTCAGCTCCACGCAGTACACGTGTGGTGCGCACTTCACGCATATCACGCTGATGTTCGATGACATGTCGAGTAGGTGAGCGTGACCACCCGCTGCGTGCAACCAACTTGCTATATCACTCACACTCAGTGCAAACCTCGTGTTGGTGACCGGCAGGCCGTGAGTGGCAGACAATGAGAGCATCCTGCCACCGCTCGCATTCGCTGAACCAATGCCCTGCGAACCAATAACATCTGTCCACACCGATGCATGACGCAGAACGCACGCGTTGAAATCACCCAGCAGAGATGGTCGTTCGCTCCACGGCACAGACGGTATCACGGAGGACAGCGGAGTGTAGAATTGATCACGCTTGTCATCAGGATAACTCATTGTCGGACCGTACGTGCTTATAAGTGGCAAACTTACATCTTCCGAGTCGTAGGCGAGCAGTCATCAGTCGCCCGTTGATGGCTGTTGGTTCACCCACCAGCTGACCATTTAGGCGATCGGATATTGCAAATCAGACGCCATGATCACGTGTTGCTGAAGCGGCGTTGACCTCCCAGTAGAATGTGTAGCCAGCACCTGCTTCATGCAACTTACCTTGCTCAGCGAGCCGAGTTTCACTGAGCGCCGCAATATCGATGTGGTAACGCGCCAACTCCATCGCGACCGGTGCAGTGCGTCGGTCGGGGCGCTCACTAGAGTTCCGGTCCAGTAGTGTCCGCACGTTCCAGCACCCGATGCTGAGTGCTTTGCGCAGGCGTACGATTTCATTGGTGGGCAATCGCACGCGATGTGGTCGTTGTGTTTCTGAGGTTTGCTTTAGGGACTCCACCCGGAGCCTTTAGCTCAATAGCCTGACCCACAAGGCAGTGGGTGATTTGGAGGTTTGCTTAAGGGATTCCGCCTGGAGCGTTTGGCTCAATAGCCTGACCCACAAAGCAGTGTGAGGTTTGCTTGAGGGACCTCCACCCTTAGCGTTTGGCTCAATATCCTGACCCACAAGGCAGTGGGGAGCAGATCCAGCTCGGGAATATGGTTGTAGAGACATAGCGGGATCTGCTAAACGTCCGTCACACGCAGCCTTTGAGGTGCTGGAACGAATCTGCGACCGCGGCCAGACGGAGGTGGGTTTTGGCGGGTTTGCCCCAATTTGACCAGGGGCTGCCTGGCTTGAGGCGGGCAGGTAGCAAACCATTTAGCACCCGGAGGTGCCCTCCTACCGTCAAAGACAATGTGTGGCGCTCGTGCTCTACGCCAATCGAGCTGTGAGCTTATAACCCGTAGACCTGTTGTCACCCATGGCTAGATTTTGCGGTAAGAGTGCCATCAACCACTTCCTATCCTCCGAAGAGGATGGACTAGGATGCTGCCAGGGCGCTCACACTGACAGGAGAAGGACTCGGGTCCTCAGCCAACGCCTTCGATTATATGTGCACTCGAAATCCAGCTGGTCTACAACATTTTCAGTTCACTGACTCATGCGGATTAGTGTCCTGGATCTTAGCATGGAGAAGGGCGTAACCCAATTCCTACCCAGAGCTCGCCACGAGGAGGCGCCCAGGACATGAGCTAGTGGCGCAACAGTAGCAGCAGTGGGTAGATCATCTCTCTGGATCTAGCCACCACCAGCCTCAGCGCACCATAGGCTCTCCCGCCTGATTCGTTATGCAGGCTTGCATACACACAATCCCCTTTGTACTTTGTCCAATATTTTTCAGGACGTGCCTCGCAACCATCGTAAATCGTATGTGTTGTCATCTGCCATCTGAACTTCCTGTTTACAATGCATCTTATACCGTTTAATTTGCACTCTCTGGTACCCTTGTCAGTGGAAACAGCATACATGCCTAATCGTTGCCACATTTTATTCACATGTTTCCCAGCTTTTCGTGGATGGATGGTTTTGGAGAATTTTAGGACTCGCCCTTTATTTTTGTTTTCTGCATTCTGGTTGTACTTCAGCTTTCTCTTTTCCCATTCATCATTACTTGAGTCGTTGTGGTTTTCTAACAACGTCTGAGCGATACTTGACAATGGCTGTGCTTTCCTCGGATTTTCTCGCCAACGCCGTTTAACTGATTGCGACAGGAAAAGGCGGCTACAGAACGCACAAGAACTGCATGCTTTACGGTTGCGGTTATTTTGCATCCCATCAACAATGGGTTTTATTTGATTTTTTACTTAGATGTGAGTCACGATGTGTACTCTTTCATGAACTGAAATTTATGATAGACGGTCATTTCGTACTCGTGTACGAATTACTAGAGTACATTCGTTCATTTGCAACTATTTCACTTGATGATGTTGAGGGTCATTTTGTAGAACACGTTGTGTGGATGGATTACGACGCGCAATGTCAATGTTGACCGCGATTCCCATTGAAGTGAACCTTGATCTTTCTAATACGAGGACCTTAGCTGATGCAAATAGGAATTGGGTGTTGCCCGCCCGAAAACACTGCACTACTATGACGCGTTCCTATGTTATTACATTTCAACAGATGGAGTTTGCAGGCATCGAACCCGAGACCATCGGGATGTAGTGCAGTGTTTTCGGGCGGGCAACACCCAATTTCTATTTGTATCAGCTACGATCCTTGTGATCGAAAGACCAAGCTTCACATCAATGGGAATCGCGGTCAACATTGACATTGCGCGTCGCAATCCATCCACACAACGTGTACTTCAAATTCACTTTAAAATCTGTTATTTGCCGTTGTGCCAAGCTTTGCCCGTCGTGACCCGGTGGCTTAGGGGTGGCGGTCACAACTAACATCTCAGTGGTCCCGGGTTCGATGCCTGCTATCTCTATCTGATGAGAGGAAATAACCTCGAAACGCGTCATGGAGTGCAGTGGTTTCAGGCGGGCAACACCCAATTTGCTGCTGCTTCATCAGCTACGGTCCTAGTGATCGAAATGCCAAGGTTCACTTCAATGGGAATCGCGGTCTACTTTGAGATTGCGCGTCGCAATCCATCCACACAACGTGTTCTTCAAAATGACCATCAACATCGTTCATTTAACCGTTGTGCCAAGCGTTACCTGTGACCCGGTGGCCTAGGGGTAGCGGTCACAACTAACATCCCGATTTTCCCGGGTTCGATGCCTGATAACTATCTGATAAGATGTAATAACATCGAAACACGTCATAGTAGTGCAGTGTTTTCGAGTGGGTAACACCTAATTTCTATTTATTTTATATGATGCTTTAAGTGCCAACCTTGTTATCTCTTTCTCCACATAATCAGGACTGCGTCACTTGTTCCCGTAAAAACGAAATACCGAATTTGCTACACCTTAGTCTAACCCAGCTCAACGACTATGTCTCGTGGACGTATTTTCTTCTATCAGATAATGCAACTTAAGGGACCGCTCAAGAGAGCTCCTTCATTTGGAGTGATTGCCGTTGGCACCTCAGATGACGCCAACATACCTTATACGTTCTGCTACCTTCATTGCCCAGCGTCAGTACATGCGTTCAGAGACACAACGACTAGTTTTCGCGGCTCGCTTCCCTTCCCCGTTGGCTGATTGAGTCACACTCCGGCACACTGCAGTACACCTGAAGCTGAATGTTTACTTGTTCGGGCTTAATTTCTTTTTGGCCTTATTCCTTCTGGTAGCTATCCGACACAAATAAGCTCTCCCTCCTTATGTACTTGTCCACTCTTTAGGGATTCAAACTGCTGTCTCAAATCAAAAAGTTCGCTGTACAAAAGGATGTCTACTTCAACAATCTAGAAGCCCATCAAACCAGGCTTCCTGAATTGCAAGTAAGTAAGCCGATTTTGCCAGCTTTCCCTCTTGCAACTTCCCAGTAGCTCTATAAGTTCACCCTACTCTCTGGACTCACTACGACTCATCGCAGAGTAGCTCAGACCGTCAACGTGAACCAGTTAGTAAGTACTTAATAACGCTTTTTTACGCGCGTTGCTGTGTTACTGCCGATTGGATGTTCGAATTGCCTCTCTTTCTTTTACGCTGCACATCGACTCCTAAATCAACACACCCAATCGCTCTGTGGATTCACCTGACCTCAACTGTGCTTGTAATCGAGTGCACTTATGTTGGATTTCATACTTTTATCGAACAGCTGCCGGTGCACTTTACGTTTCCGAGATTCGTGTAAGCCCCGTTAACTTTAAATCATACGACGGAATTTTAGCTGCTACCCAGACTCCTAGTTCGCACACAAGCGCAATCTCTCTACTAGTGACTTGTTTTGCAGAATATTCACCGGTTTCCAGATGGGACCCAATTCACTCAGATCGCAGGCATTTTAGGATACCAGATGAAGCTCTTCAGTTTATGGGTTTAGCTGGAACGTTCTGCTGCTTAACTAGAAGTTCTAGACATTGTGATAGGTTTTTCGAATGTAGTTTTCCGCAGCATCACTATTGATGGTTGCAGTGCTATTGATGTGTTTTGACTTCTTGCGTTACCACATCGTCGCTTTCCCCCGACTAGTTCATGGCCTCGGTCTCACGGAAGTTGGATGGCTAGTCAGCCTTTCCGGAGCCGCCGATTCTCTTTTGAATCGCTAGCCAGCAACCCCTGCGCTCACCTATCGTAGGGATCAGGTAGAGTCTTTCAGTTGGTAAACTATCTATGCAGCTATACCAGCGCCTATACAATACAACATGAAGTCACAACCTGCATAACTAAAGATCCTCGAACTCTTGTCTATCCTCAGCAATTGTAGAGTCGACACATCATCCTCACTCTCATGAGTAGGTCCGACTCGTCTTTACGCTTATACTACCTATCCATCAGACCGACAGACACTAATCGCGTTTCCTCCGTCGTAACGAGACTGGACCTTACTGTGGTGCGACGGTTTGCATACCACCTTGACTCATTGAGTTTAGAGCCTCCGTCGGAGGGCGAGGTCCGAAACGCGATCACAACCCTCAACCGTTTTCGTACCGCTGACCCGGATTCCCTCCCACCCGCACTATTCAAGGATGAAGGTGAAGTCGTCTGCAAAGCACTTTATTCGAACGTATCTGGAAGGAAGAGTGTCCCGGCTAATTGGAACGTACCGATTATAGTGGCAATATACAAGAAGGGCAGTTGCACAGACTGTGCTGACCACAGGGGTACTGGCCTAACACCAGTTGTGACAAAATTACTGGCCTCGATTCTCGTTCGTCGCCTCACTGTGGATCGTGAATTTCGTATTAGGGAAGAGCAGGCTAGTTTCCGCCTAGGGCGTGGGTGTATAGACCATATATTCACTTTGCGGCAGATGCTAGAGCAGCGCCACGCATACCACGGACCGACAATAGCTGTGTTCCTCGATTTCAAGAGTGTGTTCGATTTAGTCGATCGATCGATTCTGTTCGAAATACTTGCGCGGAAAGCTGATTCCACGAAATATGTGAACACCCTACATGCTCTTTAACACTACAGGCCGCGTCAGGATCTACGGTGGCCCAGTAGATAGCTTTCCGATCACAAGTGACGTTCCTCAGGGTTGTCCGATTTCCCCATTTTTGTTCAATTTCGTCGTGGATTCTATCATGGAGTGTTCACTTGCGGAATCTCACGATGTAGGCGTTGAAGTGCTGCCTGATGAAAGGTTAGTTGATCTTGATTATGCGGACGATATCGTCTTACTTTTTGACGATGTTGCGGTGGCACAATCAACCCTGAATAGCATATCTAGAGTGGTCTTATTATTTGGTATGCACTTCGCACCTTCAAAGTGCAAAGTGTTGCTGCAGCACCACCAACCACTTGATGACCCCTTTGACCTTTGCTAACGAGGAACTCGAGGTGGTTGATCACTTCCCTTATCTTGGCAGCTTCATCAGCAACGATGGGCGCATAGAAACTGACATCAGCTCACGCACTGCAAAAGCCGGAGCTGCCTTCTTGAACCTGCAGCATCTTTGGCGACAGAAGGGAGTTTCCCTTCGTCTGATTGGCCGTGTATACAAGGCCACAGTGAGGGTCGTCCTGCTCTATGGTAGGGGCACTTGTCGCCTTCGGTCTGAAGATCTGAGGTGCCTTCAAATCTTTGATCATCGTTGTCTGCGAAGCATTGCTGGTGTCGGATGGCTCCAGCGTCTCCGCAACAATGATGTGCGTAGGCGAGTACTAGGTAGTGATAATCATGCTAGCGCACTAGAACAACAGATAGCACTGAATAACTTGCGTTGTCTCGGGCACGTGTTACGTATTCCTGGTGATTTCCTACCTAGGAGGGCCTTGTTTAGTCTGCCAGGTCTAGGGTGGCGCAAGACTCGAGATGGACAGAAGTTGACTTGGCAACGGGAAATGAAGTTACTGACGACCAAACTTGGTGCCGTTGGTCCGTCTCGCTTTGCGGGCTGGAGTCCACGTGACTCGCCTTGTGCTTGGCTCGAGACTTGACAGGACATGGCTCGCAGTAGACACCAGTGGCGCGTCTGCTGCTGTCTCCTAATCGGATTGCCTGTTTGAAGTGTTTTTGGTGTTGAGTTATCTGCGGAGTACTGGTTGATTATGATGCGTGGCAGTGAAAGCTGCAAGGAAGCTGTCTCGCGGATGCCGCCTTATCTTTTCACGATGGCCATCTGTTTGTGACGGTATGTTGTCTACACAAGGTGTAGGCGCCTTGATCCTGACTGTTTGCTTAGGGCATTAAGGTTTTCATGTAAGTCCCCCTTCTCTCCTTCTTATTCTTTATTTCATAGGTCCTCATGGTTGTATGGCAGCGAAGCATCAGTTCGCATGGCTGATGTACTGCTGTTGCTGATTGATTATTGCGTCGCGTTTCGTCGCCGACGAATTTCCGATTTTGCTCCTCCGCTAAAAACCAAGTGTGTGTTCACCTTTTTATTTTTGGCACAAGGTTAGTATGTGATCCATTGCCCACCGTTACTCCACACACCAAGCTCCAATCGTTGGGTCCTGTGTAGCACATTCCAGTACACTGACTACCGCGATGCACATTATTTATGGCGGCTATGGTTTTGCTCCATACACAGGATGGGAAACCATCTGATGACTTATTCACAGGGCGTAACGGGCCCCTACTTTGAACTTGTTGTCCCGACGACGCTACATAAGTATTCTATGCTTTCTCTCAAAAGATTGTTGCTGATCAAAGACACGAAGCCGTCCCAGATCATCAAACCGAAGAGACCAAGTCCCACTGCCATAGAGTAGAATGGCCCTCACTGTGGCCGTGTAAATACGGCCTCTCAGACTAATGGAGGTTGTTTTCTGATGCCACGAATGTCGCAAATTCAAGAAGACAATCTAGGTTTTGCAGTATGTGAAATGGCTTTATTGGTTATGCACTCGTCGTTGCTGATGCGGCTGCCAGCGGAAGTGAATTGATCAACTACTTCGAGTCCCACGCTATCAAGAGTCAAGGGTTATTCTATCGGGTGGTGGTCCTGTGACAACACTTCATTATGAAGATACGAAGCGCATGCCAAATGAAGAGACCACTCTTGACAGGCTATTAAGGGTTGATAGTGCCGCCACAACATCGTTAAAAGCAGGATGCTATCGCCCGCATATTCAGGATCTACTAGGTTTTCGCCAGGCTGCACCTCAACGCCTGCATCATGAAGCTCCGCGAGGGAACACTCCACGATGCAGTCCACGCCAATTTTGAACAAAAATGGGGAAATCGGGCAACATGGACGAACGCCACTTGTTGTCTGGACGATATCTGATAGATTACCGTGAACCCTGACGTCGCCTGTCTTATGGTGGATATTTCATGGGAACACCTTTCCGCACAAGTATCTCGAACAGTGCGGTTTGATCGACTGCGTCGAACGCGCATTTTAAATCGAGGATCACAGTCATTGTCGGTTTGTGGTACCTGTTACGCTGCTATACCACATGCCGCAGAGTTAGTATGTGGTCTATGCATCCCCGTCCTGGACGTAAACCTGCCTGCTCCGGGATTCCTACTCCGCAATGAGGAGACGAACGTGAATTGAAGCTAGTGATTTTGTCACTATCGGCTTTAGGATAATGCCCATGTGCTTAGCATAGTCGGTGGGACTGCCCTACTTGGATTCTGCCAGTATTATCGATACACTCCAGGGAGGTCAGTGCTTTGCAGACGACCATTCCACCATCCTTAAATAGTACGGTTCAAGGGAACTCGGAATGATTGCTATGACCGCGTTTCGGATCTCAGTCTGCCATGGAGTCTCTAAACTAACTGGCCATTTCTAAGCCTGAAGACTTAGGAGCCGGGGAAACTGATTCCAACCGGTTCTCCGCTCTCTTGAATATCCAGTGACTGATGCGGTGACGATTGATGGTACCACAAGCAGAGGTTCTTGCCTCATGCATGATGATCGAAATTCTATTCCACTGAAGCTCAGAGTCATTAGAGAGAGAAAGTTCGGTACACAGTGCATCCTGGTAGTCTTGCCTGACCGATGGTTGAAATAATTTCTCAGTTGCCAATCGGGGAAGATGCTTGGTGCGCCTTCCGGTAAAGTTTGGAAAAACGACATAGTACCAAAGGATGATCAGAGTCGACACAAGTACTTTAGAACGAGCGGCAATGGAATCACTCAGCCTGTAAGTAATGGCATCGTGGTCTATTTGGGTCCGCCGATGGCCAGCTACAGGAGGACGCCATTTGGAAATTCGGTGTCCATTGTGCATAAAACCGGTGCTCCATGCATAGTTGCAACAGATGGTCGCCGTTGTCCATCCGTTCGGGGTTCAGCCCATAATTATCAACTGGCTGAAATTTTGAAGAGCCCAGACTTGCACATTCACCTCCCCGACCCGTAGCCTAAAGGTAACATGCTTGTCTTGTAATCTGACGGCGCTGGTTCTAGCCTGCGTAGGGACAGGGCGACGCTTGCAGTATTATTAGCCCATCTACGACCGGTGGTGGCTGCCCGACAGCGAAGCGTTGGTACTGTGTACCGGCGTACTGCGGATGCCTTCTTCACCTCCCCTGCAATAGCAATCGCGATCTGCATTAGTAACACTGCGAAGCAACATGTTCAGTTTGTTATAAGGCTGGGGAGCATTGGGCCCCTGTTTGACAAAGGAACAAACGAAAGGCATATGAACTGCGCAATCAGTCAACGGTTTCCAATGGGCGCAATTCCCTCAATTCGCTCCGCTGCCTTGCGGGCAGGCTATTCAGCCAAAGGCTCGGGGTGGTGTCCCCTAAGTCAACACCCTACTTCGGCTTGGGCAACCGGGTAGTATCTCGCCCTCTGATGAAACCATGGACTTTGATGTGTTGTGTTTTCTTTTACTATTTCTGTACCTTGTTTTGAGTTCCATGGTTTCCGATGGCTCAATGTATATTCATAGACTGTTGCAAAACATATAATATATATGTAGTATAAGGCGTTCTTCGCAGCATCGGAACAGCAGACATTGGGGCTATAAGCGGAAATCACAAACAAATAGCCTCTAGTATAATTTCATTGGTGCCTCCAGACAGTTTCACACAAAGGGCTGCTCACTGGAATTAAAGCAACCATAGTTAACTCAGCCTTAGAGTTAAAAGCGATGCCCATCCCAGCATGACCGGTGGTTGACGTATCTACGTTGGCGTCTACGGATGCGTGCAATTCATAGCGAGGGAGCAAGCCAGGTGCAGTTAATTTAACAACCCCATGAGCGTCATTGATCCTTTTTTCGGATACGCAACACAGGTCGATACCCAGCGTGTCTAACGTGTGTACTAGTGCAGCCTGCTGACCTATTAGTTTTAGAGTGCGAACGTTGAACGTCGCCAGGGAAACGGGACAGTGTGGCCATATAGGGAGCTGTTGACGATTTGTCCATTGGATGGTGCGGGAGGACAGCTGCCGATGGCATGACTCCAGTGGCATCCCGGTTGCTGTCAATTAAGCTAGGAGTTATAGGAGGAAGGCTAGTAATGGGGGCTGGGAGGGGATTTGGAGTAACTGTTAGAAAGGAAAGAATGAAGGCGCCAACGATAGCATGTTTTCGCCTATCCGCACTGTTGTATGCAGCAGATAAAGCGACGCTTGATAATCTGCGCGACAGCCGATGCAGGATATGGTTGAGGTTTAAAGAAGTGGTCATGGTTTATGTGAGCTGAGATATTGCCAGGGTGCCCAGACCTAGACAGCAGAAGGATTAAGATCCTCAGCCAAAGCTTTTAGCTCAAGGCAAGTCTGCGCGGAGATGGCAACAATTCGGTTTTACATAAGTTGATGTCATTCTATTTCCAACACCCATCCTGTAGGACCAGGATACTCAGTTTGCTTGACCTCTAGCCATTGACCAACCTGGTAGAAGTATCCCTAAAAGGTCGAACAGGTACACAAACCGTCGCACCACGTTAAAGTCCTGTCTTGTTACGACGGCTGAAGTAATGACACAACACTGGCGACTTTCGCGCGGGTGCACAAATACCCTGCTTTGGTGTTTTTTTTGCTTATCCAGGATTATTTTTGCATATACTTTGTTAACTAATGCACCACTTATAGGGAGGAAAACGCGACCAGCATGGGGTTTAAAATTAATTTCAAATACCCTATTTCAACAGGCTTAGACAGTGATCACCATCTATGCGCGTGAACTTTTTTTATTTCATTTGCTTGTTATGGACCTTATCTACTTGTATCGTGTTTTATTGTTGTACCTAGTAGGTTCATGATTGATCCTGCTGATTGCAAAGCTGGTTTACGTATTCTCTAAGCTGCTTTAACTTTACCAGGCCGAGTCGACAACCGTGTATCTTAATGCTTTGTATGAATTTTCCGATCATGGGCATGCAAACATTGAACTTATCTTTGTGGCTCTGGTAGCTACTTGCCGTCGACTTCCGTATTCCCTTTCTAATCATTGGGACAATCTGCTCACTTACCTGATATGTACCAATGGTGCAGCCTATTTCAGTAGACTATCCAATAATCTTGACCAGAATTCTTCCCAATCAAATACAAATGTATCTCTGGTATCCTTTTGGTGCTTCAAATTGACTTTCCAATCTGTCATTAACCGTTGTGCCAAGCTTTCCCCTTCGTGACCCGGTGGCTTAGGGGTAGCGGTCACAACTACATCCAAATGGTCCCGGGTTCGATGCCTGCCATCTCTATCTGATGAGAGGAAATAACCTTGAAACGCGTCATGGAGTGCAGTGGTTTCAGGCGGGCAACACCCAATTTGCTGCTGCTTCATCAGCTACGGTCCTAGTGATCGAATGGCCAAGGTTCACTTCAATGGGAATCGCGGTCCACTTTGAGATTGCGTGTCCCAATCCTTCCACATAACGTGTGCTTCAAATTGACTTTCCAATTTCTAATGGTTGGTTATTTATTTTGATAAACTCAACGGTATGTGCTTTTGGTTCGGTTTCTTCCGAGCCTTGTGCTTCGTACATCCAAATATGCTTGTCAACTATGTCAACATAGTGTGACATCTTGAACCTACAGTTAGTCCAAGGTTACTACCATTATCTGGTTTCAGTATTAGTGGTCGTTAAAAACTGCTTTCATACCGACTCTCGGGAAGATCAGAGAGAAACGTGCATTATCGCCTTCCATTTTTACCTGGACTTAGTGCAACCCATGAACAGCATTTAATTGCCTTGACGCTTATGGCTCACTGTATTGCATTAAGCTTTTACTTCCCAGCGTCGTACATCACTGCTTTTTCTTACATTTAACCTCTTTGGCGTGAACACAGTGAGGCAGTCTTACGCCACATGTACCTTACATTTGCAATCGTGTACTGCAGTCCAACCTGTTTAAGGCGACCACTCAAGGGACGGACAAAAAGTAGTCCCCTTGGACAGGTTGTCGCCACAGACATGTTCATGCATAGGGTCTTAACTGATAGGCGAAAACGTTGGGGATGTTGTTGGTTAGTCGTCATAGACAGGTGGTCCCCATAGCAGGTTTGACTGTAGTTCGGATTGTTTCTGTTGAGAGAATCATACAGCTTGATACAACGCTCCTCAAGTTGGTCATCCAGATGTTTCAGATTTTCGTTCCAAGCACTGCCAACCGTGCTGAACCCATGTCTGCAACTGGCTTACCGATTTTTTTGTTCCGTAGCCTGATTCGAATGCTCTATCGAGTTCTCCGATCACACGGTGTGTACAGTCCAACATACTATGTCGACCAGCCAAGGACTTCCCCCAACGTTTTATCCTATGAGTAATGTTGCTATACATGAACCCGTCCATGGCGACCACCTGTCCAAGACGACCACTTCTTGTCGGTCCCTTGACTAGTCGCCTTAGACAAGTTCGACTGGAAATAATTCTCCGCGACTTATAGCGGGAACCGGGTCACTTTACACCCCTGATGCCACGCTACAACCATGCCGGACTATAACATTTTATGGGATCCGCTCACACATTAAAAGCTACTCGACTACGGCTACTTCAGCTTCACTGTGATGGAACCTACTGACTCACTTTTATCCCTAGTTACTCGACGCTGTTTTATTCCCCGTGGTCTCGTTTGCGGCATTTGTTTACTCGACTCGTTTGAGACCGCATAAATCTGCGAAGTTACATCAGCCACCTATCCAACGCGCTGTAGGCGTTGGCTTATGTGTCATCATCTGTTTTGCAGCCACCGACGCATGGGGTTTTCCTGGAATAATACTGTCCGTTTTAGCAGATTTCACGTTGCGGTGTTTGTAGTCCTTTACATCCAGACATATTTGCGCGGTTGTCTCTGAATCTTACCCGGGGACAACATCGAATTTTTGACACTTGATCCACACATTCGCTGATGAGTTTACTCTGAACCCTTGAAATACACGCTTGGTGATTTCCCTTTTTACTGTTTTTACGTCCACTGGTGCGCTGTTTTACCCGTTAACATTGATCGTGACACTGCTTTATCGCGCGCATCTCCACTCCCTGCACGGTGGTACGGTATACTTGAGATTTTATTTTAGACGATTTGTCACTAGTTTCACCATGTTTACTCCCTTCAATCGATTGATCATTTTGATTGGCGTCCACTGTTCTCTTTTTCCCTTAGGCTGAAGGACACCGAATTGAACAAGCTATTTTGACACTCGTCGATCCGGATCGACTGTGTCCGCTGGCAGAACGTGTGGAGTCTCTTCTGGAGGTTAAGCCTAGAGTTGGGTGGCTCGTGTTGCGATTACAGACTGCGCTAAAGGAGATCAGGAACGATATCGACGAGGCCGATATGCTATTTTCCAACTTGCGTGCATGTGGTTCGGTTGGAAAAGTGACCCCGAAGAGATCTCAGTCCGACTCGTTTCATAGAGTATCTGGAATCCCACGGGAGCTTTCAGCACAATCTCTCAGAACATCCTCTCCTTTGTCTCCAAATGGAGTACCTTCAATGTCAAGCCTGGACGACTCAAAACGCTTAGATGTCCAAGACCTTGCCGTGCTTGAGTCCACTCCACCGCCTCTCCCACCAAGGGCGACGACTGCGCTCTTTCAAACAAGCGATGGTGCAAGTGGTCGTTCAAGAAGAACAGAGTCTTCTCAAGCTAGCAATGGATGGGAAACTAAATCTTTCGATTCCATTCCAGCCGCATGGCGGATTACACATCCATTAAGGGACCTACGGGTGAATACTGGAGAGCGACTATCACTTACCTGTCAATTTACTGGTCCATCTGGCCAGAACTCATTCAGTACCAAGTGGATCTTCAGGCCCTTTGTGTACGCGCTTGGAGGGGAGGCCGATCTGGGTCCGGAAGTCGATATCTTAGCTACAGATAACTCGGTATCGCAAGAGAATGGGTTGGATTACGCTCGATTGCTGTTCAGGTCAATAGTTCCAAAGCTAGCCGGAATGTACAGCGTTCATATTGTTTCTTCAGCCACAGGGCGCGAACTAACTTGCTCAGGTGTGTAGTGTCTAATTAGAGGAGTTGGTAACTATACTGTACCATTTCCCTCATATATATTACCATTTGGACTGCTAGCAGAAGTTGCGTTTGTGTACCCCTCACTGTATCCATTTTGATGATAGTCTTCCGCTATTTCGCAATCTGAATGGAAATAAGGATAGGTTTTTTAATGAAATCCCTGCTGTGCAAGCGCATTCAATTGATCTTTAAATATGTTTAACAGTTTATTGCACAAAGTTTTCGTCGACTTACCGAGAACATTATGCTTTCGCTTTAAAGAAAGAGTCCTAAATTTTCGTATATAATGCATCAATTTGTTTTTGACCGTAATTTCTGCTGAAACGCGGCACATATACTTAGTAACTTTAAATGCAGTCTTATACACACACATCTTGCACGTCGGCAGCCGTTCATTCATCAGAAGCGTCCGCTTTTACCATTTTTTACATATTGCAACTGAACACACTCTGAACCATTGTAAATGTAGAAATACCATAGGAGAATGTAAGCTTGTTGTTTAATGCAACACGGGAGATTAATCGCTTATTTACAAGAAACTATTATATTTCCTTCCATATGTATACATTACTTGTCGCACTCCCGATTGATGCAATGTTACTCACTTTGGTGGCATGGATCCACAAAATTGCGCATCTCTGCATTTTAGCGTCATCTAATGAGTTTGATGTGCGAATAGCAGCTAGATTGGTAATTAATGATCGGGCAAACTCAGTATTGTTTCTGAGTTTGTAGGTTAAGATTGTGGCGACGCCTACTTTCACGTGCATAGTTCTCCTTGTGGGCTCACCCATCTCTCTGCTATCGCACTTGTAGTTTATCATATCTGGAATTTCGTTGTGGACTAATTTCTATCCCAGACTCATGTTTTCTGCTATTAGCTTACTTCATACACAGCCATGTCCTGAAATTAGCCATTCAACGGCTAGCCGTCTAAAGTACGTTCCAATATCAAATCCTTCTCTTCCATAATCATCCTCATAGAACATTAGCTAACGGTGAGAAGCACCTCACTTAGTGTGCCGCAATACAAAACGATATATGAGAAAGCGAAATAATAGGTGTTACCGGATACTAACCTCAAACTAAAACAAATAATTTAACACTTAGTATGATATAACGCATCGGATGTGAGCTCGTGGTTGGTGGTGGATGCTAAGCAGATGGGAAAGGGACAAAGAAACTCACAATACAAATGCCTTTGAAATCAGCTCTTCGTTACATCATCGTTTTTCCGACCCCGCTTCTGCAGTTCGCAGGCAGCAAACGACGCCAAGCTCTACACTCTGCGTGTTACCGACAATTTCCTACCTCAGAACCCACCGTTTTCGGTCAGTATTGAGGTACACACCGTCATAGTTATGCCCACCTATATTACTAACAATTGATCCCCAACCCTATTTTGTTTCATCCATTTCAGTGATATGATTGTGATCCGTTACACATTTCCAGCTTTTTTTCAACTCTCATGTGGCGTTCTGTACGCGGATTTTTGGTGAGCGCACATAATAGTCCAAAATGCTATTTCGGGTCTATTGAAGGATCATTACTGTGATTTCAACTTTTGCCTAAGTGTTTGGTTTTAGAGACGGTACAAAGAGGCATCTACACATTTGGGGAATGCCCGTTTTGTCATCTAAAACAGTTGTGTGTCTGTTACTCTGTTTGGGAGCTAGGAGAACACCACTTTATTAGCTTATCCCCTTCAAGCCATTTCGCTCATCCTCATATTTGCTTCACCTTTCGATTTTCTGTCAAGTGTTGTGTTTTCGTGCGCACCAAGTGCTGTGAATGGATTGTCCACTTTATTATTCATGGTTGCTCCCCTTAAAGTGGCACTGCGCTTACTCCTTTTGCTGCACATTCTTGATAGCGTTCCTCCATGTTAATTCTGTAACCTCGTTGGAGTGTATCTCGTCCACTGTAATACAACTTACAACCTACACTACTGACGTCCGCTCGCCTACCGAATAAGACTAAGACAATGTGTACCGTTTTCTATCCTGTTTTCGCTGTGAATGCATAAATGTAATGTTCCTATTTATCTTCACACATCGCAGCTAGAGTTCACGTGCTTCCCCACCTACTCTCTCCATTGGCTAACCTCACTGTTGCCACTGCGGATGCGCAAACGGGCCGACTGGAGCCAGTCGCCTTCACCGTGGCGTATCGTGGTTTCACTCAGATTCCTCATGCTTTGTGGACTCATGCAGGTCATCCGGTTGACTCTACAATCTGGCGCATGAGCACCAACCTCGACAGCTCCACAATTTTCTCTAGTGTTGCGGAACGCTCATCTCAAGGACAATACGAATGTCGTTTGCATGATCCTCAAACTGGATTCGAGCTCTGTTCCTCTGGTCAGTTTGACTCCCTTCTCTGATGAAGTTACCGCTGTTATTCCCATTTTGTCCATTCCTATTTACAAAGCATATTGTACAAACTATCTTTGTAGGGAATCAGTTGTAACGCCTATCGCTGATGTACTTTGTCACAAGTATCCATGACATGCCGTATTTACATCAGTTTAGTGGACCGCATGCTTTCTGGTCTGTTTTCCTCCAACCACTTTATCAGCTGAACCGCTTTAGGTCTTTAACCATCCGTTAGCATGTTTTTCGGCGGCTCACCTTGGACCAAACAACCCCGACTGCGCACCCACAAGTTGAAGCATCCAAATGTGAAAACGCAGTATCAACATAGGCTTCGTGAAGTTATCATCCTTCCTCTTCTCTGAATCTCGATCAACACTGGCCAAGTTTCCAACAACCATGCTGTCCGTCCGCTTGATCAGCTGGGACCTCACCCGTTTCACGGCCAAAGCCTGGATTTTGGAAAGATTCTCGGGACCACTGGATCATCGATGGGCTGTACCCGCCGGTGCGGAGCACAATGAACTCCGTTGCTCTGTCTCTCTGACTGTGAATCCTGGTGGTCAAAACGAGCTGCTGAGATGGAAGCCATTGCATCGACTCACACTCCTTCACAGGCAAACACAAGCACGGTGTATTTGGAGAATCAAGCGCACACAAGTCGGTGGCTGGACCGTAGTCCGTTCTACACCTAGTGCATGGAACCAATCTTCGAGCCTAACACGGCCACAAGGACCGTGCACCCCGTCACCTCTAGCAACGACCAACTTTCTCCTGGAGCCAGTATGGACGAGGTAGGGGGTAAAAGACAGGTAGACAGGAGCTCATCTCACTGCATCAACTGCGGTGGTTGGGACACGTATTGCGCATGCCTGGCCAGCGTTACCCCCGTCTTGCGTTGTTTGCACTTGCTGGACAGGGCTGGAGAAGACGGTCTGGTGGACAGCCTACAACATGGAGAAGCCACATGAAAAAGTTGACGAAACAGTTGGCCTCGGCCCGTTGTTGTCGACTACCAGGTTGGGGTCCGAGAGATGAAGATACTTGCTGGTTGAAGACCTTGGAAGTTATGGCTGAAGATCGATGTCAGTGGCGGACGTGTGCATCGGTTTGTTGCGGTGTCCCTTCTTCCTCCTCCTAAAAAACAAACTGAAAAAATTCCAAAAACTGTAAGTGGTAAAATTGACAAAAAAGGCATTTGTTGTTGCTCTTTTCTTATTATTCATACCGTTTTCCTATTCGGCCATGATTCCGATGGCACAATATCTGTACCACAGATTGTGTAGTATATGGTTGGCGGCATCCGGTTTCGGATTTGCCTGTCACTGTGGCCAGCCACAGGACGCCTGCGCCTACAGAGGGACCATGGATGGCTTGCGCTGCACCACCCACAGCTCCAAGCACATACCCCATATCCAGTGTAAACCCGAAGGAATAAGACCGGGAGGCATGCGGATGGGAACCACGTTTCCTCAACGGAGCCGGCCCACACTCCTTCACAGGCAAACACAAGCACACTATATTTAGGGAATCAAGCGCACACAAGGCGGTGGCTGGACCGTAGTCCGCTCCACACTGAGTGCATGGAACCACTCTTTGAGCCTAACACGGCCACAAGGACCGTGCACCCCCGTCCCCTCCAGCAACGACCAACTGTCTCCTGGAGCCAGTATGGACGACGTAGTGGGTAGTAGACAGGTAGGCACCTTGTCAACATGCACATCAAGCGCAGCCACACCGGGGATATCAAACAACAGCCAATCACTTGAGAGAGAGAGAGAGAGAGAGAAAAGAAGAGAAAAACTCGAATAATGCATAAGTAAACGGTGACATAAACCTTAATTAAATAGAAGACGTAATAAGTTGTTTACATACAAATCCTAGCTGAGTACACGAGGTCAGGAAGTATAGTTCACGGTATGCCACGAACACAAAAATGTTATGGAAATCGAATACGATTGGCTGAAGCGATATGTGCAAGTTAATGGAATAGAGTACAGGGAGATATTTATATGAGAAAGAAAAGCAGTAACGTAAAAACTGTAAACCCACCACCTGAAATAAAGAGACTTAGCATGCAAGCACGCGGTTAGTAAATCGAATTCAGCGTGCCTACAAACGCTGCGCCGGCTCGTCGTAATTCTCTACAGGACCCGTCGTCGCTTCTGTAGTGGCCCCAAATGGCACAGCGCATGGCCAACTAGACATTTATATGAGAAAGAAAGGAATTAAGAGAGAACCGAAAACCCACCACCTGAAATAAAGAGACTTGGCATGCAACCATGCGGTTAGTAAATCGAGTTCAGCGTGCCTACAAACGCTGCGCCGGTGCTGCCTACGTTGACTGCGGGACCCGTCGTCGCATCGGCAGTGGTCCCGAGTGACCTCTCTCATGGCTCACTAGGCCTGCCTGACTAAGGCACTCGCGACCGCATGTTCTACAGCACAATGCGCTCGATGTCGATGGAGTACAATTCATCGGTGCTTGCCGCTTCCACAACTGCCGCTTCTTCTCTGCATGCATGAGGGATTTCTCCCGCACTTCAGCAACTGCCTTCGTGATTAGATCGCGCCATGCACTCCGATCAACCGCCTTCGATTCCCATGATCTGCAATCAAGATTAGAACGTGTAAGGCTCACTTTAATCATGTCCTGGTAACGTAACTTTGGTTTCCCCACATGCCGCTTCCCAATACTCAGCTGACCGTATAAAAGTTGTTTCGGTATCCGCGTCGAATCCATACGGCTCACATGACCGAGCCATCTCAGGTGTCTCAATAAAAGTATGCAGTCCACTGCATACATCCCACTTCGGCGCAACACTTCTGTGTCTGCAACTCTGGCGCCCCAGCCGATCCGCAGAATTCGTCGCAGACACTGCTGATGGAACCGCTTGAGTTATCGCACATCCCGACGGTACATCGTCCACGTTTCACTGCCGTATAGAAGAACGGACAGCACCATGGATTTGTACATCATCAGCTTCGTGCCAATGGTAAGCTGGTGGTTGTTCCACACTCGCTACTCAAGCTTCCCGAATGCCGCTGCCGCCTTCGACACGGGGATACGCAGCTCAACGTGTAGCTGCTGATCAGTCGACATCACACTCCCAAGGTAGCAGAAGCGGGAGGTGGTTTCCAATATTTCAGCACCAATGCTGATTTGCGGCAATATTGAACATTGCACCTCCGGTGAAGGCTGAAAGAGACAGACAGTTTTGCTTGTGTTGATCGTGAACCCGAATTTGGCCGCTGTCGAAGCCAGAACACTAGTCATGTGCTGCAACTCATCCGCGTTGTGTGAAAACAACGCACAGTCGTCAGCAAACAGCAACATACGGATAGTTGTCTCACAGACTAGGGTTCTCGCAATGAAACGACGGATGTTCAGCAACCCACCATCAATACGGTGCTCCACACGAACACCGTAAGCACAAGCCGCATCAAAAGCACAAGACAACATTGCATGAAGATATATATTAAACAGGGAAGGAGCTAAGACACAGCCTTGCTTCACACCAGAGACAACTGTAAAGTCATCAGAGGTCTCTCCACTCAGCTGCACCCGCGCTCGCATACCACTGTGCAGACATTCAATTAAACTTACAAACTGATATATATATATATATATATATATATATATATATATGTATATGTATATATATGGTTGGCGGCATCCGGTTTCGAATTTGTCTGTCACTGTGGCAAGCCACAGGACGCCTGCGCCTACAGAGGGACCATGGATGGCTTGCGCTGCACCACCCACAGCTCCAAGCACATACCCCATATCCAGTGTAAACCCGAAGGAATAAGACCGGGAGGCATGCGGATGGGAACCACGTTTCCTCAACGGAGCCGGCCCACACTCCTTCACAGGCAAACACAAGCACGCTGTGTTTGGGGAATCAAGCGCACACAAGGCGGTGGCTGGACCGTAGTCCGCTCCACACTGAGTGAATGGAACCGCTCTTTGAGCCTAGCACGGCCACAAGAACCGTGCACCCCGTCCCCTCCAGCAACGACCAACTGTCTCCTGGAGCCAGTATGAACGATGTAGTGGGTAATAGACAGGTAGGCACCTTGTCAACATACACATCAAGCGCAACCATACCAGGGATATCAAACAACAGCCATTCACTTTAAACGACAAGCTGAAATAAAATAAACTCAATAATGCATACAGATACGGTGGCATAACTCTTCGCTAAATTACCATATGAAGTAATTTGTTTAGCACCAAATCCGTGATAAATAAGAAATGTCCACAAGTTACTTAAAATGCTACAAACGCAACAAAATTACCGGAGATAAGCGCAGTTAGTGTAAGCAACGTGGCCAGTTAATAGCAGAGTATTTAGGTAGGAAGAAAAAAACCAAATAAAGCGGAATGAAATCTATTCAGCTTAAAAAGACTTAATTTAGGTGTAAATTGGTTTAGCCCAACTGCGGTGAAGAAGCATCAAGAATGCAACATCAGCCTCAGCATGGGGCTCTCTTCTCTCTCTCTCTCTCTCTCTCTCTCTCTCTATATATATATATTATATATATATATATATATATATATATATATATATATATATATATATATATATATATATATATATATATATATATATATATATATATATATATATATAGACACCTTGTGAAGATGCACATGAAGCGCAGGCACACCGGGGATGTCAAACAACAGCCAATCACTTGACATGACTTTATCCAATAAAATATCTCTAAAAAAGACTAGGCTATGGTGACATAACTCTTCCCTAAATTAGCATATGAAGTATGTCGGTTAGCAGCGAATACGCGGTAAGGAAAAAATGTCCAGTAGTAACTAGAGAAACACTACAAATGCAAAAAAGTTAACGAAGATAACCACATTTAGCGTAAGCAACGTGGCCATTTACTAGAAATTTATTCAGAGAGACAGAACAAACCAAATAAAATGGAATGAAATTTATGCAGCTTAAAAGCACTTAATTTAAGTGTACGTTGGTTTAGCCCAACTGCAGTGAAGAAGCATCCAGAATGCAACACCAGCCTCAGCATGCGACACACATACATATATGGTTGGCGACATCCGGTTTCGGATTTGCCTGTCACTGTAGCCAGCCACAGGACGCCTGCACCTAAAGACGGATCACGCATGGCTTATGCTGCACCACCCACAGCTCCACCCACACAACCCATATCCAGTGTAAACCAGAAGGAATAAGCCTGGGAAGCATGTGGATGGGAGCCATGTTTCCTCAACGGAGCCGGCCCACACTCCTTCAAAGGCAAACACAAGCACAGCGTATTTGGGGAATCAAGAGCACACAAGACGGTGGTTGGACCATGGTCCGCTCCACACTGAGTGCATGGAACCAATCTTTGAGCCTAGCACGGCCACAAGGACCGTGCACCCCGTCCCCTCCAGCAACGACCAACTGTCTCCTGGAGCCAGTATGGACGGTTGTGAAACCTGGCCGCTTAAAGCAGCGGATCTGAAGAGGCTAGTTATGTTCGACCACCGATGCCTTCGTAATTTAGCTCACATTTGGTGGGAACACCGCGTGAGCAACGAGCGTGTTCGACGCCTTGTTTATGGCACAGGAAAAGGAAATGAACCGCTCAGCACCGTTATTTCACGCATCAGGCTCCGATGGCTCGGCCACGTGTTACACATGCCAGCTCACCGTCTTCTGCAACGTGTGTTGTTTGCGCGCTTGGGGTGTGGATGGAAGAAGAGGAGGGGTGGCCAAGCGATGACTTGGTCCAGAGGAATGAAGGCCCTCACTTCTGAACTGGCCTCGGTTGGAGCGTCACGGCTCCCTGGTTGGGGTCCGAAAGACGATGAACACGTTTGGTTGGACACACTTGCTGATATGGCTAGGATCGACCTCAGTGGCGTGCGTGCTGTGAGTTTCTTTGTCCCACCCCATTCCTCTTAGCCTCCCCCTCCAACCACGATCTCATTACTTAGCCTTATATAATTTTGTATAATAATTTTTTGGGTGCACAGCAGCCGGCTGGTAGCTTACCGGAACGATGCCCATCCGTTACCGGTAGCTCAGCCGGCTTGCACCAGTTGTTTTCTTTTTCTCTCTCATTTTTTTCTTTGTATTGCGGCACAGTAGCTGAGGTGTTCCCCACCTCTAGCTAACGTGTATGATGCTGATGCTGATGATGATGATGATGATGGAGCCAGTATGGACGAGGTAGTGGGTAATAGACAGGTAGGCACCTTGTCAACATGCACATGAAGCGCAGCCACACCGGGGATATCAAGCAACAGTCAATCACTTGAAACGGCAAGAGGAATTAAACAAATCGAATAATGCAAGAAATACGGTGACATAACTCTTCCCTAAATTGGCAAATGTAGTAAGTTGGTTAGCAGCGAATCCGCGAAATGGAAAAAATGTCCACAGGTTACACAAAAATGCTACAAACACAACAAAGTTAACGAAGATAATCACAATTAGCACAAGCAACGTGGGCAGTTACTAGAAAATTATTCAGGTAGACAGAACAGACCAAAAAATGGAATAAAATTTATGCAGCTTAAAAAGACCCAGTTTAACGAAAAGTTGTTTTTGCCAAACTGCAGTGAAGAAGCATCCTGAACGCACAATCAGCCTTAGCCTGCTTGTGTTTGCCTGTGAAGGAATGTGGGCCGGCTCCGTTGATGAAACGTGGTTCCCATCCGCATGCCTCCCGGTCTTATTCCTTCTGTTTTACGCTGGATATGGGTTGTGTGGTTGGAGCTGTGGGTGGTGCAGCGCAAGCCATCCATGGTCCCTCTGTAAGCGCAGGCGTCCTGTGGCTGGCCACAGTGACAGGCAAATCCGAAACCGGACGCCGCCTATCACGTTTCTGTTTCGTTAGTGTGATTTTTCTCCACCTAACACTGCAACTAAGCCTTAACTGCCTCACTGTTGGTGGTTGTGTGCCGTTTATCTTATTTGCAGATTGAAATGAAATGGAGGGAATTGGGCCTACTCTTACCGGTATGCTGTTGTATATTCACTCAGGGTGGCAGTTGTGTCTCACCGTAAACGCTTGCTGCTCCCGAACAATATGTGGTCCCTACAACATCCACTGATTGTTCATCAATGGTGCGATGCAATTTCACTGTTTTCAGTTCGCCCTGTTGGCGAAGTTGACTCTTGCTGTAACTTAATTTTTTTTCAAAATGTGTGCCTTTGTGTATCAGATTGTTTCCATCACTCTATGGAGCCTCCTTCATTTTTTCTGCATGTTCCACGGTGAAAACGTTTGTCTTTTTCCCTTCTCACTTCAGGCATTCTATCCGTTTGTGACCAGCTAGAATTCATTGAACCGCTCCACCCACAACGTGTTGTAAATGGCCAACCGTTCAGACTGAGCTGCCGCATCAGTTGCCCCGAAGGATATTGCCTTTGCTCTTCCGCGGACTTCGAACACACTTCGGAAACCCCAGAGCCCCGTGTACTTTGGTTACTCAATGGGCATGAGCTCACTGCCTTGGACAGCACTCGTTTGGGTATCACAACCGAAGTGGATGGTGATATTTTGACCTTGAACGTGCCCAACGCACGTCCGCAACACAGTGGTCTGTATCAATGCGAAGTGAAAGTTGGGAACGTCACTGCGCGAACGCAGTGTAAGGTAGTGGTCGAAGGTACACGCTACCGTACTGGTTACAGCATCTTTATTTTTCTAAAAACTCGAACATAAGTTTGTTGACTCACATTCCTGTTTCCACTGCTTCCATCCGAGCTTATCATATCTGCAGCAATTCCAACTATTTGCAACTTGATTTGGGTATTGAAATGTTCACTTGTTCTCTGAACTAGGCAATTCGCCTGCAGACGTCTCGTCACCATACAAGGTGATATCTTCAGTATTCAGACCGCTTTACTGCCACCGGATCAGTTAATGCAGCAACACACTGAAGTGCTACCCAGATTAATGAAGAAACGTTTGTACTCAAATTGCCCAGCTCGGCGAACAAGTCAATATTGAGTTAGGGTTGTTCGCTATATATATATATATATATATATATATATATATATATATATATATATATCAACGTATTGAGCCAAAAAATCCTTGGAGTAAATGTGCTTTTTACGTACAATGACCTCAAAGTGGAATATATATAAAGAAAAGTTTGCTGGTTTTCACACACCGTTTTGTCGTTTTTTGTCAGATTAGTGCTTACGGTTTTGATCAGTTGAATCAATACACAGACTTATGCAAACATTCCATTGGCCTCGATTACCCGCCATGTCCACAAGGGTCTTCAACCAGCGATCTTCTTCATTTCTGACTCCGCATCCCGTACTATGTACGGGACGGACAACTGGTAGACTGGAAATCAGCGCCTTGACATTTTCTCGCTATGTGGTAGGCTGACCACCGCGCGATTTCTTTTACTGCAACCATGCGCGAGCGAATAGAGCGCGCCGTGGTAAACGCTGGCACGACATACGTAGGCCGCGAATTAGCCACAGTTGGCGCGGCGATATTAGCTTCTCGTGAGGGAGGCCTATGTCACCCAGGACAGTTAACCATCTACTAGAAGTCCTAAGAGGAAAGTGTTCCTATCCACTGGTAGCGAACCACTTTTATGTTCACTAAGTGCCGATCACTTCGTCTACATCACTCGCTCTTTCCTTGTTAACCGTAATTCAAGTGTGTGATGAATTTGGCCACGTAGACGGATGTCAGCATAGTGCTGGTTCTGTTAGCATGCGTAGCAAAAGTTAGTTAGAAAGAATAAGAGCAGTCGATAAACAAGCTCGAAAGTGACAGCATCATATGGATTGGTAGCGTGCTAAAATGTATAGGGCCGCATGTAACTTCGTTTCCGAATTTTCAGCTGAATAATGCCAGTACTATCCCTGACATGTTTAAGCCCCTGTCCAGGATGTCAGCACGCACTAAAGATGTCCTATTTTTTCGACCAGTTTGTTCTGCTCTGGTTTATATGACATGACCTGGTCAATTAACAGGGTGCAATATCCGCGAGAAACGCGCATCGGGAATTTGCAAGCGACAAACAGGCTATGCATATGTTTTCACCACTGTAGGTGGTTTACTATCAACCACTGGTCCATCGCATTACCTAGTTTAATTTACATAGCATAGACCACTGTGAAGGGACCAACCGTCGTGGCACAGTAAATTACCGAGTCACGGAAACCGTCATACTTTACTTCCCAAGCCGATTGCGATTTGCATGCAGTTATTGCGGGTCCTTCGGAGCAGCTTCTGATTTAGGCAGTCCTCCATATTTCCGGAAAAGCACCATTTTATGGTACTTTATTATTGTGAGATTTCTCCCCAGTTCCCTAGTATATTTGGCGATCGCATGAGGATCAGCTTATTGAGAAAGGAGCCAATCTCAGCATGCACGTGGACTAAGACTCCGAACTAGGCGAGATAACCACAGATTGATTTTTGGATAATACATCCTTATAAACCATTTCTCCACAGTTTTATTCTACCTATGTGATGGAGTAGGATATTGTATTCATGAAATTTTCCACTAACCCTTTGCAACCGGCTTTACAGAGATAAGTAGAGCTCCACCTAATGAGACACCACTACCTCAGTCGAAACCCCTGCCGCTTTGTTTACTTGAAACCGTATCATACGGCTGCGGCTGGTTTGTTGCTGATACTGGGCCTTATTTTGCTGGCCCCAGCATGCTCGTATTCATTTAAACTTGGTCCACTGTTGTCCCTTTCGCCGCTGTATGTTCATATTGCTGCGAAGCCACTCGTGGAGTGTCAATCCGATAAATACTTTCTTAACTGATTTATCGTTAGTTCAACCGTTGGTCAGGGCAATCTATTACTGTGTTGTCGTGCTTCTCATCGCCTGTATGCACAATATCGCTCCACTGTTACCTCACTCTGAGTAGACGTTCTCACCGACTGGTTCGTTGTGAAAAATTAAACCCTCACCCTTTGCTTGACAATTCAGCTTATGCCTTTGAAAACTATAGGTTTCCTTGAGCCCATTTGCGCTCACACGCTGACCGGTTTCTAGTGAGCGTGCGGTATTCGTATGCTGTAGAGCCCTTGGTCCTGAATGCTTGAGCTGGGCATTTGGGTATTTGACTTCATCTTTTTACACCCTTCCTTACTTTTTGTTCATATGTCCCACCTACGATTGAAACATTTATTTATTCGAAACATCGCCCCCAATTTCTGGTGCATTGTTGTTATTGTCCTTAGTAAGCTTGTTGAGAACACTGATGATTACCTTACCTCTGGTCATTATGGTTATTATGCCAATGTTACCCATAATGGTTGCTACGACGGATCTGTTTATAGGATGCAGTATCGTTTGCTTACTGAAGTGATACTCAGGATTTAGATGAAGCTTCAGACGTACGTTCTGCAAGCTCCGATTGCTAGGCCACGTGTTACGCATTCCAACTCACCGACTCCCGTGACGTGCGCTGTTTGCGTGCCGTGGGTGTGAATGAAAGAAGAGGACGGGTGGCCAAGCGATGCCCTGATCGAGAGGAATAAAGGCCTTTACTTCGAAGTTGGTCTCGGTTGGAGCCGAGAGGCTCCCTGGTTGGGGATCGAAAGACGATGAACACGTTTGACTGGATGCACTTGTTGAGATTGATAGGAACGGACCTCATTAGGATTTGGGTTGTGAGTTCCTTTCTCCATCCCCTCCAGCTTAGCTTCCCCCTCCAATCACGATCTCATTCGTTAAGCACAATATAGCTTTTTTGCGGCACGATAGCCAGCTGTTAGCTCTCCGGAACGATGTTCATCCGTTACTGGGGACTCAGCCGGCGTGACTTTGTTATTTTCTTATCTTTTGTATTGTGGCACAATTGCTGCGGTGTTTTCCACCTGCAGCTAACGTGTATAATGATGATGTTCTACAGATGTATTAATTTCACTCGGATTTCATCATCTTTATGTTCGGTATTTTGTTCCGTCATCGCAGTTATGTTATTTTTTCTGTCGCGCATATACCGAATAAATGCATTATTAGTAGCTTAGCATTTTTGTTCCTAACTGACAGTCAGTTCAACTACACCGCGTTCATTTTTCTTGTTACGGTATTAAACTGATGGTAACTTCATTTAGATGCCGTTGCACCAAAAATTCTGGCTTGCTCTGTGGAACCTCCGGGGACTGTATTTGAAGGACAGACCGTGAACATTTCCGTTCGGTTCGAAGGCCACCCACTTCCATCATGCTCGTGGATGAAAGATGACAAGCCTGTCGTCGTGAACGAAGCACACTGGGAGGTCAGTCTCTGTCATCTTATCCTATTTTTAGGTAACAGTATTAATGTATATACCCTTTTTCAAGAGCCATGCCCTTTTCTGCATGATAATGAGTTTGCATGCATGTTACAGAATTTCAGCCGTAGAACGGAACAAATGCATTGAGTAGAGAAAGGGCTGCAGTGGATCTTAGAGAAACGCAAGCAGTCTTGAGTCCAATTTAAGTTATACGGCCACTCGTGAAACCGTCTCCTGGAAAACCGCTTCTATGCGGGATAGTCTCCCTAAGGGTTTCACCCGCACTTCAACGCCCATCCGAAAAGTAACTTTTACATCACCAATTTGCCGCCGAATATAGAGAATGTTGAATGCAGTGTCATAAGTACACGGGCCAGTATACGACAGGGGGGGGGTTCTGCCAGTAATACCTTCGTGGTTGTAAAAGTGTCGGCGAAACAACAGTTGGACGCTTCCAACACAGCAGCAGTGGTATCAGTATGCTGACCATCAGATGTGATGATATACGATGGGTGTTCAAAAAGAAACCGAACTTTTGCTTTAAACTCTTTATTGCTCATTTCACAAGAGTTTAAGCACTTTCCTCTTCAAAGTAGTCCCCTTTACTGGCAATACACCGTTTTCAACGGTGCTCCCGTTTTTGTAAAGTCTCCTGGAACGCACTTTCCGAGATGGCGCGTAGGTCTCTTGTCGCATTGTCTTGAATCTCCTCTATGGTTCGCAAACGACGTCCTTCCAACGTGGTTTTAAGTTTGGGGAACGACATAAAGTCTCCAGGCTCTAGGTCCGGAGTATAGGATGGATGAAGCACTTCTGGAGTGTGATGTTTCGCTAGATACCTGCGGAAAAGGAGCGATGCGTGAGCTGACGCATTGTCATGATGCGACATCCAAGTCTTGTTTCCCCACAATTCAGGCCTCTTCCTGTGCACAGCATCCCTCAAACACACTAGAATTTGATGGCATGATCCAACGCTGATGCCCATTTTGTCAGCAACTTCTCAAACAGTTACACGACGATTTTCAAGGATCACAGCATGAACTCTCTCTCCATGGTCATCGTCTGTTGATGTGGAAGGTCGTCCAGGCTTTGCATCGTCACCGACCGACATTCCACCGTGTTCGGAACACTTAAACCACTCATAGCACAACATGCGACTCATACCGTCCTCCCCGTATGCTTGGCTAAGCAATTGAAATGTCCATGTAAAAGTTTTGCCATGTTTGTAGCAACGTTTCACACATACGCGTTGTTATTCAAGGTCTTTCATTGTCTCTCTGGTACTAATCCGATGAACAGCGTGTGCACGTGCTCATTTCAGCGGCTGTAGCTCCCCAACCAACAGTCAGAGCGAAATGCGGCAAATGACAGCTTGTTATCTAAGCAAGCCACCACATGCGCTCAGTGGCCGCGCTATATCAAAAGTTCGGTTTCTTTTTGAACACACCCCCCCCCTCCGAATGGCTGGTTTTGTTGTGTACCGCTCTTCTTTTTTAGCAGTTGTCTTCTTTCGGATAGTGCATTGGCATTTTTGTAGTTGAACTACTCTTAGGTTTTCAATTCTAATTAATGGTCTCTGCCATTGTATTGGCTCTGCTAAATCTTTCGTCTTTTCCATGCATTTAGAGAGAGTTATCTAACGTTAATGACTTTTTTGTTAAGTCAAGCCAAGAGTGTGTTTTTATACACCCGTAACGAGTGAATTTTCAGACGTGACACACATGCTATCAGCCTGATAATGTAGCTCAGTGAAAAAGATTACCTCACTGTCTAAATTTATCGGCCATTTCTCGAATAATAGCTTTTTCGTCAAATATAAATCTTGCTCAGTAGGGAATTACAAACGATTTTATAAATCCTCGTGCGAGCATTTATTGCTCTCTACTTTTTCTGGTCAACGAAGTAGAGAGAGCACTGGAAAGTATGTGGCTAATGTCAGTGGGTATTTTGGCACCATGTTTAGTGCATGAATTGACGTGCATGCGTACAATTTTCTACGTCAAAGTTGGCTTTGGAATGCCACTGCAGCGAAACAATTGCTTCTGTGTGACATGTCAAGCAGGTTGAAACGCACGCACACACACACACTAGGCGTGAAAAAATCACACGGAAAGCAGTAAGTTCATTGTTGTAGAATGCACTCAGTGATGAACTTTCAAATCACGGGAGGATTACGATCGAGCGACGTTTAACGAAAGTTGCCTGACCTTGTTGAATATTCGATTCACATGAAGTGACCAAGACAAATCGTGGTTCACCGTAACTCCAAGATTCTTCATTGACATGCATCAGCTGAAACTATCACGTTCGATCTGAAGTTTGGGCTATTCCGTGACAAGTACCTGGTAACGAGTTGCTTTATAAAGTGGAATTGAGTGTCATTGCACTTGGATGCATTCAGCGTCAACCAGCGGAAGTTTGACCATTGCACTAATTCGTCCGAACAACTGCAGGCTGGCTGAGGAGGCCGAGGTTTGATGATTCACACCGATACTAACGTCTTCATCATGTTCTAGAAGAATGGGTTCTTTTGAGACAGGTATAGAACTTACGTAAGTAGAGAACGATTATTGTGACAAACTAGCTCCTTGAAGGACACCGGATGTTGCGGTAAGTGGTGAGGAGCTTTCGCCGTCAAACCTGTTGACCTGACTTGGTTTGACAAAATAATCCGTTAGTAAAAATATTAGGGTAGGTTTAATACCAAACGTCTGTAGGTCGTGCAACACCAATTTACGGTTAACATATCCGAAAACGTTGCTGTAGTCGAGGAAACTGATCCGTGTGAATTTGCTCTTGCGGTCTAACGACGACAAGCCACTGGATCTTGTGTGTATCTTGAACTTCTATACGCAAACCGAAATTGGTCATCCAAGCGGAATCGGGCCATCATTCTTTAAGAATGCTTTTCTCAAAAACCTTCAAAGCCCCCTGAGGTGGATGCAGTAAGTCGATATTTACCCATCCTTTTTTCGGTACTCGCCGTACATATATATATATATATATATATATATATATATATATATAGGTATTAACGGCGTGAGAAACTATTCCTACATTAGGAACAGATCAGTATGCCCAGAAATATTCATGCTCTTGCATGAGTGCATATTATCGCCAAGTCTTAGACTTTCCGATATTTTTGAACCATCCTCGAACATTTCATCAGGGGAGTTGTCAGATGAGAGCATGGATGACATCACTTCTACATCAAAGAATCTGTCGAGTTTGGTATGGAATGAAATGAGGTTTTCACATCCGCTTGCGGTTGGTAGGCTATTCCACAAGACGACGTATCTGATGGGGAAAAACCTGGACCTTGGTACTCGTAGTGTAAATCTTTGTTACAGTCTGTGATAGTTATTGCGTTTTATCTCTATTTTATGTAGGTAAGAATACGTTTTCTGGTTGAACGAATTGTAGAGGAGCATCAACTTTTGCTTTAGACATCGCAGCCAGAGAGGCTCGAGGTGGAGCTGTTTGCAACATTCGCGCTAGTTTAAAGTTGTTTAGAGTGCTATTGAACAAATGTTTGGTGAATGACTTCTGTAAATTTTATATAGATTTCCTACCTAACTTACGCATACTGCCATAGGTAAAGTTGCAGCATTTGAGAATAGGACGAGTGAAAGTTTTAAATAATTCCAAGCTGACAGGGACTGTATGGATTTTGTTGTATATGTTAGCCACGGATTGTTTAGCCCGAGATATTTGGTATTGGGCTTGTTCGGTAAAACGGATGTCGGAAGAGTAGCGGATTCCAAGCTCACGAGTAGATTGACCTATGGATATAATTTCGTTGTTGTTTAGTTGACCCATTTGGGATCGAGCAACCGCATGGCATAATGTTTGATTTGTTGGTTGAGAATTTTATCAACCACGTCTCAGGCCGTTTTTCAAGAGTGTGAAGATCTTGAATTACAAGTAACGTGCTCTAAAGCGCACCACGCCGACGTTTGTAAACAATCTTACTATCAACTGCAAATAGAAAGAGTTGGCCATTTTTGATGGAGCTGCCAATCTCATTGATGTAAAGGAGAAAAAGCAGTGAGCCGAGTACAGTTCCTCGGATGACGCCGCTGATTGTTAGACGAGGAGAAGAGTGGCGATCACCCAAAATGACTATTTGCGACTGATTGCTAAGGTAGGAGGAAAGCCGACTTAAAAGAGGGTTCTGAATTTCTAAGGATTCAACTTTTTTCAACAACCGTTTGTGTGGTACACCGTCAGATGCTTTTTCTAGGTCCCAAAACATAATTATTATTGCATAACCGGAGTCTATGGATTCTGAATTGTAGTTAAAGTAGTGTAACTAGCAGGTCGTGCAGGAACGTCTATTAAGGAAACCGTGTTGAGATGTATCAAATATGTTCATGGAATTAATGAACTCCATCAACATTTTCTCGACTACTCTTTCAAACAGGATGGCGATGCTGGGAGTTTGATGAATCGGTCGGCAATTGCTGACATTTTGCTTTGGACCACTTTTATGACATGAGATGATGAATGAGGTTTTCCAATGATCAGGAAAATAGCTATTTTTATAGCGATAAAGTGCATATGTTCAACAGCAGTAATGGTAACTTAGGCCATCCCCTTTTACTCGCAGTTGTAGGAATGCCGTCGGAGTCCAACCTGAGAAGTTTGATGGTTTTCATTTGCCACTGAATAGTGCTGAGAAAAATGTTTGACACTGCTTAAACGTTTGGTTGTAGCGGGTTAAGGGCATTCAGGTGTGGGGTCTGATTCAAAAATCGTGTAGCAAAGAAGGCGCTAAACGCCGCACAAATGGCAAGTAAGCGCTCTGGTAGTATCAACAGTATAATCAATACCCAAAGAGCCAAACGAAACCATGGGCATCACTGGGCGGAATACACATTTGATCACCGCATCTTCATCATGGCACATTAGCTGAAGGTGAGTAACACGCTTCAGCTAATGTGCCACACGAAGAGAGTAACTCTTGTTATTTTTCGTCCGTTTTCTTTTCATTTTTCTTTTCA